ATGTGAAGACCAATACCGAGTTATACCGAGCAATACCGAACTATACCGAGTTTTTTAATAGAAAACAAATAATATAAAAAAATACCTAGTTTTAGCTAGCAATACCGAGCAAAAATTGAGTTTTTTAGCGGTGGGAGGACGTATCTCTACGTCAGGTGGGAGGACGCAATAAAAATTCCAACTAAACAGATAGGTTGTATACCTTAATTAAATTCGTTACAAAGATGTGTATTTCACTTTAGATATGCTAAAGTTTGGTTACAAGTTGTGCATTTTTGTTCTAGAACTGTTATTATATTTTCCTTTCATAATTCAAAATTCTACATCCAACTAAACAGGTCAAACAGTTTCCTCAAATTTTTACTATATTAAATAAAGCAACTAAAATAATCAGAATATATTGCATTTACTAAAATGCATACATTCCAAATACAAACAACAATCGAGCCCTGAATGCTTATGTTTTAAATAATTTTACCTTTTTTTATATTTATCATCATCGTTGTATCTAAATAAGTCTGACACCACCTCCGATAGCTAAAACACCCTTCCACCAATATTAAGTGATTGCAACAAACTCTCCAAAAATGAAAAGAAAAGGGGAAAAGTTGATAATTCAAAGTTTTCAATAATTTCAAATTTAAAATAAATAAGTTTTAGAAATTCTTTAAAAAAAAGATTGAACTTTTTAGATTTCAAATTCAAATCAAATTTGATATTTGATTGCAACTTTCCAATCATTGCTTACCCTTTCTTTTAAGCAATAACTCTACCAACATCCTCAACAATATCAACCACAATTCACTCAATCATATCCCTCATTCCCCTCCATAATATCTTCCACCAAAGTCTCCAAACTTATCAGTTGATTCAAATTGAAAATTGAATTTGAATTTCAAGAACTTGAATTCAAACTTACATCCTAATCTCCAACTTTTTTTCCTCCACGAGTTTCTCCACTACCTTAACCCAATCAAACCTAGTTAGGTTATCCAAGCTTGACACCCAGCTCATTAATTAATTGATTGACCCAACTCAAACAGCCAGCATGGCCCAACCATGAACCCTAATAGAAAAAAAAAACTTCTTCCTAGAAAATAGAAGCATCAAACCAATCTATCACAGTGCATAAAACCTTCAATTTTTCAAAGTTATCTTTCCAAAACTAATGATAGCGTTCCTGAGGATAAACGATAAGTATTTAATCAATATTATTGTTGTTGAGGTCATTCTCCGCTTCCTAGCTTCTTCAGGATTTTCATTCAACATATCCACTTCAAATGGATTTGTCATTTGGCACCTCCACCTAGTTCCAAATATTTTTCAAACCAAAGATTGACACAAGGTTCTCAACCTAATTGACCTAAAATAGCTCAACCAAGCATAACCCAAATAAGCCAACCTAGCCCAACTATGAGACCAAATGAACAAAAAAAAATCAACTTCTCATTAAAAAATAAGACACCAAACCAATCCATCACCATACATGAAAATCCCCAATTTGTCAAAGCTATCTTTCAAAATCTAATGATAATCTTTTTGAAGATTGATGATCTGTCTTCAATTAATATTGTTATTGATGAGATTATTGTTACCCTTCCATTTATATGGAGTTTTCTGTTGGAAAAGTAAATCACGCAACAAAACAAACAACAAAAGAAAACAACGGAAATGAACACGAGGATTTAACATGGAAAAATCTAAAATCAGGAAAAAACTACGAAGCCACAATACACCAAGATATTCACTATGAAAATTGGGAGAAATTACACAAATCTTTTTCTCTCTCACACACTCTCCTTGTCTCTCTTGACTTCACTTTTCCATTCACTTCATAGAATAGACAAAAAGACGAACTTAAATATACAAAAGAACGCAACCCTTCAAGTTAAGCATGAAAAACGATAAAAAAAAACTGCCTAGCCCGACTCACAATACCATGGCGCCAATGTTTGGAACACTACGGCGCTCCACTCTGTCTCAAGCCTGACTTGCAGCGTCATGGCACTGCAGCCTACAACGCTTTGCTCTTTGTCTCCAACCAGAGACTACAATGCCACAACGTTGCATGGCTGTACGGAAAGAGAGCAAGGCCCCCGAACCCAAGCAGGGGGAGGCCCCCTGAACCCCTCAGCAAGCTCAACTGACGAAATTGAGGTATGAGTAAACAATACAACCCGATTGATCAATACAATCAAATTCCACACATAACCAACATTTTCTTTTCTTCACCCCTCCAAATAGAATGGATTTGTTATTTGTTACTCTTCTTCAGAATGCATTTATCACAAAATATATTTACTCATCAATACAATCAAAGGTCTATGAAGCTTCAAGCCTTCAACAACATTTCAACTCTTTATAGTATAGCTTGTTGTAATCGAGAGGAATTGATGTAGTGCAAGATGCCAACTTCCAATTATCAATATTTTCTTATATGCATAGTATAGTCAGAATAAGTCAGGTAGTTAGTTCTTTTACGGTGTTTATTATTATTATTCATTATTAAATGTTAGGGTTAAAATAGTCATTAATCATTTGATGCTTGTTGGTCAATATTTTAATGTTAGTAATATTACAATGTCCAAAAAAAGTTAGTGGTACTAATATTAAATTGTAGGTCTTAGGTTGTAATTAATGATGGTTAATCGTGAAATAAAAAAGATTTTTTTTTTTCCTCTTCGGAATCAATTCCTCCCACAAAATATCTAAATATGCTATATAACAACTGCCATATCAAAAAAAAGTATGCAAATTCAAAATCATCCTTTTTTTTGGGTGTCATGCAATAATACCTAATTTATTTATTTTAATAAAAATAATTTGGAGTGATGTAGACCTATTATGAGAAAATTTAACATATCGACAACAAAGATACTACAATACAACGTATTCTTGTTAAAGCAACAAGAAAGAAGATGTGCTACAAAAATAAAATTTTTTGTTATATTCCAAGCATAATTCACAGGATTGAAAGCAAACTTTCGAATGTTCAATCAACAATCCTAAATGTCATGCTCATAACAAGAAGATTGGTAGAAAGATGGGGCAAAATAAGCAATCTCATCTTATAGGTTCCAACATTAGACCAACAATAGGACAAAAGAATATTATGTATTTTAGAAGAAAATATTGAGATTCACTATCAATTTAAAGTGCATATCTGCAAAAAGTTAGGTTAAAACAATGTTCTAGAGGGGTAAAAAGATAGGACAAGGAATGACTTGAGCCGCATTAATTTTCTTTAATTTCATAAATTAATAACATCAAACAAATACAAAAATATATAAAATAAAATAAGTACCATAGTCTATAATAATATGATTCATATTCATACTACAAAATCCAATCAACACAAACAAATAAATTCAAACCAAATTTGATGTCAAAATGAAACAAGATAACTTCTATGCACTCCTCAAGCTCCAAAGGTAAAGTTAGGTTAAAACAATGTTTTAGAGGGTAAAAAGGTAGGACAAGGAATGACTTGAGCCTCATTATTTTTTTTTTAATTTCATAAATTAAAAAAATGAAACAAAATACAAGAAAAAATGAAATCAAATAAGTGCCATATTTTATAGTAATAGGATTCATAATCATATTCATACTCCAAAGTCCAATCGACACAAACATATAAATTCAAACCAATTTTGGTGTCAAAATGAAACCATACAACTTCTATTCATTCCTCAAGCTCCTAAGCTTCCAAATCCTCTTCTCTAATCAATGTTTGATTAGGGAACATATTTCTTTAATTTGAACTCTTAATTATTGGGAATGCTATATTATATTGAACTAATGTTTGATTATTTAATAACTTCTAAATTAATTTATCAATTTTTGTCATAGAGCATGTGCGCACCAACTAAATGCGCCCAGAGCAAAACTCAACTTGTTGAGCGTATGCTCCACAAGTCAAAAGCCTACCCCATCTACCATGGGGGACTTTTGTTATGCCCCACTCTATAGTGTATGCCCTAACAATGCCTTTCAAAACATTGGGTTAAAGCTTTTATTTACTTCAATGCAAAGGTCCATGATGGGTAATAATAGGCTTAGGTTTATAAAATAATAATTTGTTCCAATATTTAGGATGAATAGAATCATAGAGTCAACTTGATTGTTGCTAACATTAGAATGATTGTCAAAACCACTTCCCAAAGGTTCATATTAAAGAAAAATGTGATGCATGATTTCTGCATAGAAAATGGCTTTGAGGGAATGCAAACATGAAGATATCTTAGAAATTCATGCCCGCAATCTTGACAAGGTTCTAGCTTTACAAAGCAAACATAATAATTTTTAAGATTCAAAGTAGGGGTGTAAATTTCGGGTCACGGGTCGGGTTCGGGTCGAACCTGGAAATGACCCAGCACAAATCGGGTCAACCCGAACCTGAACCGTTTTATGTCGGGTTCGAGTCCAAGTCTTGTCAAATATTGACACCCCTAATTCAAAGAGCATGTTATTTAAGATCTAGCTGGTTCTTTGATGGTTTAGCTAAGAGAATCAATCACTAATATTTAAATATGAAAATAATATCACTCCTTGCTTATTATGAAAGGGAACATGAGTTCAAAGTGAAAAAAAAAATTGCTATTCACTGTTGAAAAGAGAATGGAGCTTACAAGCCAATATTCAGTTTCACTAAAGATGCAAAATTTTCAAGTTGGTCATAAATATTACATGTAAATGATAAGAATAAGTAGGGTTTATGCTCTCAGTTTTTACAATGTGCAAATTGATCAAAACTAGAATAAATAGAAAACAAAGATCATACAACCATTGGCACAATTCTCCACCATTGAACAAGAAATCAAGAATTCACATGAATATTTGAAGGAATGGCATGAAATGTAAAATTATAAAATTCACACTAGTTTAGTTTGCAAGGAGTAGCTATCACTAAGAGATTGAATATTTATCAAGAAAGCTCAAACATATTAGTTAACAAGCATTTTTTTTAATAATGCCTTATAGTAAAAGGATTCTACATTTACCTTCCACATCATCATCATCTTTATCATCATCGTCCTCATCATCATCTTCATCATCATCATCCTCAACAACAGGCTCATCAAGCTATAGATGCAAGCATTTAGGAATTTACATTAGCAAATTTGCAAGGCAGCAGAGCAAAAAGGAGCAAACAATACCCAATGAAGGATACCAAATGCAAACCATGTAATATTTAATTTAAATGTAGTTTGATACACTTAAATTTAAGAACAAGATCACAGAAAAGTTTGGATGAACCATTTTAAAATAAATCATTTAAAACTACTTCAGCTAGTATTCTGGTTACAACTCATATAAAAAGCCAGTATAAGCATTGAATTTCTTGGGATGATTATATACACTAACTTAGTTGGGATCTGTGCATATACTGAATTCCTTGAGGCATGTTATGATCTTTAAAAAGTGAACTCCAGATACTAAAGATGGCAAAAAATAGCATACACAGTAAACAAGGCTTCCCAACAATACATGTTTGTGAAGGGTTGGTCAATGCAGCCTTACCCAGTATTGCAATGTGGTTAGTAGCATCAGTCAACCTCCAGGACCTCAAAACCACAATGGATGCAACTTCACAATTGCATCAGTCTTTGAAATTAGTGATTAAGAAATTCAATCTAAAAATTAAACATAATATGATGTAATCCATTCCATTTTTCCTTGTATTTGATGCCATAACCTTTAAAGTGAAGGCCTCATAATTTAAGAAATTAAATAAGCCATAAGGACTGAAATAACCATAAGAAATTGAAGAACATAAAATAGAATAGAATGTTATCCATTCACAATTGGTATTTCCAATAAGACCTGGTCTAACTTGAAATATACATCAAAGGAACAAACTCAAAAAACAATCCAAAAAAAGAAAGAATATTATCAATTTTTTATAAAATCTCATGTTTTAATTTTATAATAGGAGTGAGCATCTCATTGAATTAATTTTATTTGATGATTCCTTTGAGTAGCTTATCAAAAATAGTTAAAAGAGGCTTATACAGAAGCCATTAAAACCCATGCATACCACAAAAAATAAGTTCAATGACTAAAAATGTTCTTTCTGCATAAATGTTCTATTTAAATATTATAGATTCAAGAACTGATGAAATTGACATTCAGAAACTTCCTCTCATATAGGTTGAATTCAAGGAATAATGAGAATGACAATAAATAAATAAATAAATACGGAGTTATTGTGTTGTTTAGCTTTCTACCAATGCTTTGGTTCTTTGAGCTCTTCTCAACAATTAATAAGTTAATTTAATACATCCGATGTCACTGAATTTAGACTGAATTTTAAAAATACTTTCCATCCAAAAATGGATAGAAAGAAGTGTATCTTAAAAAAAATCTCAAATATTTCATAGATACTTTTGTTTGATTTGATATCAGATCACTAGGCAAATTTCTAATCCTAAATAATTAAACAATGTTGAAGAAATATAGCAGAAATAATCAAAACCATGTTTAGCATGCATAAGATTTTCTGTTCAGTTTAAATAGGGATAAAGTTAATCCTAGAAGTTCCATAATGGAGTTAAATCTGGTTCAGGAGAAGGCTGGATTGGGAGCAAATCATAGATCACCAAATCTAGACTGCTAAACAGAGAAAATAAACTAATTTGTGGATTAAACGCCTAGTTCACATCTAATCCTTATTTAACATCAAACCAAGCAGCCCTTCTACAGCAGTTTGTAAAGCAATAAATACATCATCCTAATGAAAATTAGATTCATAGTGGAGCAAAAAGCGACAAAAAAAAAATCTACTTAGGACAAAGTCATCTAATTTATCCAGACATACAGAAGCCTCAAGTTGAATTTTCAAAAGCAATCATGGCCAGGGCACGACTGCCACCTTGCCACTTAGTTGTTATGTCAGTATTTAACAAGCTCAGTTTCTCCTGTCGCTCCTAGACCCTTGTTTAGAAAAATACAAGGCTTCAACAACGATTCAGTAATCTTGAAACCTTAACATATAAAGCTATAAAAAACCGGAGCATCTCAAGAGTAGCAAGCGACGTTATTTAGAGGGCAAACATAATTGGGAGACTTATCTCTGTATGAACCTAAATAATACCTAAAACCCATGTGCACAAATCAAAGAGAAGATAGATCGAAATTAGGAAACAAAATAACCGATGGATAATAGTATAAACAAAGAACGATTTTGCATTGAATTGGATAGAACAAAGGATAAGGTAACCCTACGTTGATTTTTTGTTGCTCGAGCTGAGCGGCGAGGAGCTCCTCGGGGGTCTGGGCACTCATGGCGACGCGTCGGCGCTACTGTTTCGAAGCCAAAAAAAATCTTAAGAAACCCTAAGTCCGAGCGAGATGACAATCCTACACACAAAGAAGAGATAAATGGCTCATTGTGCCCTGGCGATTGATTCCTATTTTCTTGCCTAGTTGGCACCATTCGTCTAACTAAATTGCAGATCTACCTGTTTTATTGCATATCACCCCCTTTCTTGCCCTGCGGCAGTGCGGCCTTTATTCCAATTTTTTTATTTGGTTTTAAAATATTTATTTACTTATTTAATTATTAAATATATGTTGTATTAAATTTAACATATATCATTCTTATAGTATATTTGTTTTGTTTTCCCATGTTTAATTTTTAAATTATATAAGAGATGTCACTGAAAAAACATTATTTTATATGTGCATCTTCTCTATGATATGAGGAATTATTTTGTGCGAATGCTGAACGCAGCTCTACATCTTGACCGAGTCAGCAATACCGAGTGGTGCCGAGCGGTACTGAGCATTACCGAGCCGCGGTACTGACATGGTTCATTCTAGTTAATCTCCGGGTGGTGTTCTGCATCCGCACATAATAATTTCTCTTATGATATGTAGCATATTAGAGGATTTGTAAAGCAATTTGCATATTCATGTAAGAGTAATTCTATGTTATGAGTGCAATAAAAAATAAGGAATCAAAATAATTATATAAAAAAAGATTCCAATTTTTTTTTGCATTTTTAGCTTAATACTTAAGTTTTTATCATTCTAAAGTTCTGATTATTTAGTGTTTAGCACTCAAACTAGTAAAATATAAAATACAATAATATATATATGTTATATCAACAAAAAATTATTTTGAACGGGCACGAATCTCAAAGCAAAATCAATTGGAAAGTTCAAAAATTAAATTTGGGACCATCTCAACTCCGATTTCAGCAAACTTACAGTCGAAATGAACGCATAGAAAATACGAACCCAACGACACCAAATTTGACTCAATCCGAACACAAATGTGTCCAAATCAAAAACTCAAAACATCTTTGAAAGGTTCAAGCCATAATTTGGATTACCAAATGGTTTTGAAATGTGAAATGCTTATAGTCGAATCAAGCGGCTCGACGAGACAAATCCAACGAGCCCAAGATCGTCAAATTCTACTATCATTAAGACATTGAAAAGCCCAAAGAACGATCCACGATTGAGAGATTCAACATCGGTCGTCCATTCAAACCACTCTCAATTTATCTCTAATCTTCCTTCTATTTACTGACATTACCAAAAAAAACTATAAATGGACCAATCATTCTTCATAGAAAGGGGATCCCAGGGGGGAAGGAGGCCCAAACAAGAAGAGAAGAGAAGAAAGCAAGGAAGAGAATGAAGAGAGTCCTCCTCGACCACCGTCAGACTTCCACCAGGTAGCCAACCGATGTTGAACTTCTACCTGATCACCAACTGACGCTGGAATTAAGTACGAAATAGAAGGAAGAAAAGGAAGATAAGAAATAGAGCTCTCTTGTCACCAGATTCTTCCTAGGCCACTGCCGGACTCCCACCAAGCAACATACCGACGCCGGAGTTTTGCCCGAATGCCATCTAATGCCGAAGTTTTGCCCGGCCCCCGATTCTCGTCGGACTTCAACCCGACGCTGGACTTCTATCCTACGCCAGACTTCTGTCCATCAACAAACTTCTACCCAACCTCGGACTTGCGCCCGTCATCGAATTCCTATCCGACACTGAACTTCCTGCCGTCATCGGATTCGTACCCATTGGTAGACTTTCGTCCGTCATCATATTCATGCATGATGCCGGACCTCCGCTCGTCGCCGGATTCCTACCTAACGCTGGGCTTTCGCCCATCATCGAAATTATGTCGGGCTTCTACCCGACGTAAGACTTCTGCCTGTTGTCGGGCATTCGTCGGACTTCTATCCGACGCTGTACTTCTACCTGACGTTGTTCTTTCAATCTCCATTGTCAGAAAAAGGTCTTTATGACTTCCGTCGCTCGCCGACTATGGTCCTTCTAACTTACATCACCCACCAACTATGATCCTTTCGACCTCCGTTGCTAGACAACGGTCCTTATGACATACATCAACCGCCGACTACGGTTCTTCCGACTTACATCGCCCATCGACTATAGTCCTTTCAAACTCTGTCGCTCACCAACTATGGCACTTACGACTAAGCGAATATGTCAACAGTGACTCTTTATATTCACACCATGTAATGTACTTCATATAATGTACATCAAGCCAATGCCTTATATCTAAATAAGGGCCTCAATTGTAATCGACTGCAAATAATAGTGGATTTATTCAATTTGGGTTGGGCCCCGTGATTTTCTCCCCTTTTCAGGGATTATCCACGTCAAAATATTGTTGTCTCCTATCAATGTTGCACCCTCTTTTTTTATATGTATGCGTGTTGGATCTTCGTACAATGCTGAGACGCTAAACTTTATATTTCTCTACCGCCGCGAATACTCAATGACACAACAAATATATATATATATATATAACACAATATAATACAAACACAAGATATGTTTATTATTGAAAATATGGGATATAAATATGCATTTAACATCACATTTTAATTTATATATTTAAAAATAAAAAATATTCTATGATTCCAACCTGAACCAAAAATTTCGGGTTAGGGTCAACCCGAATCTTAAACGGTTCGGATTTGGGTTGAACAAATCGACCCGTTTAAAAAATTAGTTCAATTCGGGCTTACCCAAAAATCCGAAATTGACTTGTTTTTGACACAAAAACCCATTTTTGACCTAGAAACCTCAGAATGTCCCGTTTTTTACCCTTTTTACCCGAAAATGGGAGATTGCCCCTTTTTTTACCCAAAAATAGCAATTTTGGGTCAACCCCGGGGCATTGGTGTCGGGTCGTGTTCGAGTCTGAAAACCTAACCCGTTTTCTAAAACAGGTCGGGTTTGGGTTGACCCAAATAGTGTCTTGTCAGTTCTGAATTCAACCCGAATTCAACCTGTGATCCGAAATTGACACCCTGAATTATCTTCATACATAATGGTGAGAATATGTAGAATTTTTTTATCTTTTTTACTATTTAAACAAATCTATAAACATAAAAAAAAAAAAAACTTAAAATGATTAATTGACAGTAAAATTAACACATTCATTTGTCTTCAACACTTTATTAAGATTATATGAAAAGTAATAAAAAGAAAGTTTTGAAGTGTGAGTCATTAGGATCTAAATTATAGGATTTTAAATCAACTACAGAGTCAGGGCTCTAATACGCTCTAATACTGATTGTTTGTTCAAGATACACTAAAAAGGGGCTAATTACAAGCATAACTTTTTGTACTTTAGAATTCTTCTTGTAATTTAATCAATCCAATCTCACATGATGAATATGAGAGATATAATGTGCCACAAAATGCAATAAAGATAAGCTATATGTTTGTGATGTGATCAAGCAAGTACATATGTAACAAATCTAATCAATCACATAAGCAATAAGCCTATAACCAATTTCTAAGAAAGTTGCAATAAGTGCCACAAGATGGAAATGTTGATAAAGATATTTATAGCGATATATGATTGATCTAGAACATAAATATAAATGTTACTCTTACTAATATGCATATAACTATTCAATATATGAATTGCCATAATATCATGTAAAGTAATATCCACTAATTATATAAATAATAATAATTACATGCAAGAAAATTTGAATCGGTAGATACATGCAAGAAAATTTGAGTCGGTAGAAAATATATTTTACATTCTAGCATTGCCCAAAAATTCAACATGCAGAGATGAAAGTAATAAGATCAAAAAAATTTATGTGGAAAAACACGAAAAGAGAAAAAACCTTCTTTCTTTCTTTATTGTTGAAGAGAGGATTAAACAAGCGTATTTTGGAGATGGTAGCCATGGTGGTTTTCAACGGCAATAGTTGGTGGTGGTCATTGATGATGAAAACTGAAAAATACAAGAAAACTTTCTCTAATTTTATCTCGTCTTCATATGAAATAAGCTCTTTGTGAAGAAAATTTTGATAATTTGAACAAAAATTCAAAACACTACACCGTACAATCCATATGAATTCTCTTGATCACGAAGCATTTATTCAATATCAATGTGTTCAAATGATATCAAAATTGAGTGATATTAAGCTCGTTATATTTGTCTCGTTGAGCCGCTCGATTTGAGTATAAGTATATCTAATTTGAAGATCATTTGGATATCTAATTAATATTTGAAGTTTTCAATCATACTTCAATTGCTTGATTTGGGCTCATTTGAGTTCGAATTAGACCACTTTTGGTACCGTTAGGTTTGTCTCATTGAGACATTCAGATTGGCAATAAGTTTGCTAAAATTAGAATTCAATCATTATACAAAATCATTACAAAATATATAATAAAAATCACTTGCAAATAGAAAGCCTTAAATAGGGCATTAATGATCAAATAAATTTGATAAAATATATGAGACATTTTTAAAAAATATTTATTGATATATAGATCTAACATAAATATATTAATTAAGCAAATAAAAATGCATTAATTAATTAATTATAACTCGCATAACATAGGTATAGTTAATATATTTAATAAAATTATTAGAAAATTAAGATCTCATAAAGTTGCTAAATATAAAAGTAATAAAAATCCTAGTAAATAAATTACACACATTGCTATTAATTTATAATTAATAGAATAAATAAATCAAGATTAATTAATTAATTAGAAAAAATATAAATCATAAATAATAATTAAGTTTATAAAAAGAAATATAATATTTTGGTGATAATTAAACATAATATTGAAACTTATAAAAATAGATTCATTGTAACTTTGTGTTTAGGGTTTTTAAACGTTTGGTTAATCTTACACAATCAAATTATAATAAGTAATCCAAATACTCACACCAGACTAAATTCACTTTTAAATAAATTTGATCTTACATGAATATTCTACTTAGTCTATTTCTAGGTGATCAAAGCTCCAAGTCAATCTAATACTTTTTAAAGTATTTTATTAGGTCTGATGTCCTGACGTAGCTCTACGTTCGAACGCCAATAACATGTCGCCACGTGCTCTTACTTTTTTACCGCGCGGCCCGACGATCCGACCTGGACCGAAACCCGGGG